TTTAAGGGAATGTTCCCTACTCATGTGCGGTAAAAGATTTCAAATTTAGCTTTTTTAGTGTGACCTTTTTCGCGGACCAGCAACTTCCTATTTGTTGGGTCACTGAAGTCGATATCTACAGCTGACATACCACACAGCTGCACAATTACCTTCCTGAACTTGGAGGGCCAGTATGTCGCAGAGTTAGCTACTGTGATTCCTTGCGATCTTGCTACCGCACGAAAAGTGCAAAAACGCATAATTGCACCGGTTCGCCTGGTGCGTTCCAGCCTGGGATGCAGTTGCATATATGCAAAAACGAATAAAAACCAAACTCGCGGCAACAAATTACTGGAGACCGACGCGCCAAGACCGCTCAGCAAGCAAGCATCACATGATTGTGCGAAATGTGTGACATCATACTTGCTGACAGTAAGCGAACAAGCCAATGAATGGCACATGGTAGGTATCAGCAAGTTACAGCACATTCCAAGGGAAGTATTGCAGCTGCAGCTGGCATAGGGGATATTTTCAAGACAGTGCACAGCTGAGAGACAAACCTATAGGCAGATAATGTGGCAAGAATGAGAGACAACAAAAAGACAAAGCGTTTTAACCGAATGGTACTCATGCAATGTTAAAAGAACACAGGAAAGGCCGCGAACATAGAGTGAACGACTGTGCGAATGTGGATGGGAATGAGAAAGGCCAAAAAATGAAAAAAATGGAGAAGTTGCCAGCTACGTCAGTGACTGTTTTTTGGAGTCTGATGATAAAACGAGGGGGTCGGCGACAGAAACACCGGCCATAAGTGACGTGCACGATGTCCAGAAGGCGTGAAGAAGCCTTGTTTATGAAGAAATGATAAAATCACGACGTGACAGTGGCCGGATGGGTATTATTGATGCACAAATCCATTCATCGGTGCAGCTGAAGCACAGCGAAGGAGAGAGTGCCAGGCACAACAGAGGCTTGCCCTCAGCAGCATCATCCGGCGGCATATGCCGCAGCGCATTCTCCTTTTGCCGGCTTCCTCGATGGGCTTTTGTGGTCCACGTGGGGGAAGGGATGGGGTCCCTATCGTCTGAGGTGAAGCAGTAAGAGGGAAAGGTAAACATGGGCTGCGGCACCGGTGAGCTGTTTTGTAGGTTTCCTCACTGATGCATCTTTGCCGGCTAGCCTCTGGCAAAGCATTCACGCTGTCCAAGGCGAGGCGATCGGCCGGTAAGTTGGGGTGGGTACCTCTCCCGGGGGTCTGTATCATACATTGCGAAGCTGTGGCACACATACATCGAAAAGGCGGTAAGTGTTAACTGGAGGTATGCAGCCCAGGATTGAGAGATCTGACACAGCAGTGAAACGAGATACCACACTGATATCGCGGGGGGCACATGAGCGCTTCTCCAAAAAAAATCGTACCGAACTCCCTCCCCTTCCCCTCTCCCCTCCCCTTCCCTTTGCTCACTTTACCCAACCACACCGAAAATGGTAATAAATGGCAACGCGCACCAGACTAGCCGGTGCGATCATGCGTTTTGTGCAATTCA